TCTGGTGCAAATTACTGACCTCTGTCATCATTTTAAGTGGGGGAACTTGCACAATCGGTGGCTGACTAAATACTTTTTTGCCCCACTGTACATATATATATGTTCATGTGTAAGACTGTCGTATATCATTTTTTGTTTTCTCTGCAGGTCTGCAGGTCACCTGGGTTCCTCTAACTCTGGCTCAATGCCAAATCTGGCAGCTAAGAACGGTTCTGGTGGAGGATTAGGTGGTAGTGGAGTGGGAGGGGGACACCATGGCGTCTACCTCCATAGCCAGAGCCAGCCCTCTTCCCAGTACCGCATCAAAGAGTACCCTCTATATGTAGAGGGCAGCCCCAACCCCGTGGTGGTGCGCAGCCTGGAGAGTGATCAGGAGGGACACTACAGCGTGAAGGCTCAGTTCAAGACCTCCAGTTCCTACACGGCTGGGGGACTGTACAAAGAGGCTTGGGGGGGAGAGGAGGGAGGAGAGGGAAGCGGCCGACTTACGCCGTCACGCTCTCAGATCGTAAGGACTCCATCATTGGGGAGAGAGGGTGGTGGAGGCGGAGGAGGTGGGAGGGCGGCCGTTTCTGAAGAACTGCGGTGCTGGTACCAGAGGTCTTCAGGGAGCCTAAAGGAGAGGAGTCACTCACATTCGGGATCCACATCCTCTGAGACTGGGTCACAGCAAGGAACTCTGGGACATGGTCGAGGAAGTAGAGTAGGAACACTCGCCAAAGGCTCACCAGGTAGGTCTCATCGTGAAACCTTATCTTAAACAGGTGAACCGATATCAGCGGTCACAGCCTAATACTCATAGCCTTGAGATTATGAGACTGGCACGCTACTGCACTGAGAAGGCATGCAGTACATCCCTGCTGTCACTAATTTTGTCAAATGACCCCGTGACAAAAAAGCAAACCAAGGCCATCGCCACATGTAAAGCATGGTTTGAATTCCTTTGCTCCTCAGCTTATTGGAACTACTGAGGGATCGTTTAGCTTCAGATCTTCTGACTGAGAGCAGTTCTATATTAGTTTTCCATAAATGTTTAGATTATAACAACAATAGTTAATAATTAAACGGTTTACAAATATCTCTGCATTCAGAAAAAATGACAGAGCTTCTTAAGCTAATATTTTAATTTCACGAGGGTAGACAGTTGCTCAGTTTGACTAAATATGGAGTTTGAGCAGCAGGAAAATACACTTTTAATCTTTTCTAGTGGTATTGATGTTTTTGAAGAAGGGATGGGAAATTTTGCAATAGACTGTTTAAGGCGTCAGTAGAGTGAGGCGTGTGTGTGGGTATGAAGCAGTGTTCCTCCGGTTGGCTGCTTGAGCTAAAAGGCAAGCCTGTTAAAACTCTAGCTTTGGATAGGAACATATATCCTATCCAAAACTGGATCTCTCTCTTCTACTCTTTTGTCTTTTTCTCTTTCTCATTAACCCCAAATGGTATCTGACTGGCCCTCCCTGACCCTGGTAATGACAGAGGTCTCTTCCTGTTACAAGGAAGTTCTTCCTACCCACTGTTGTCAAGTGCTTGCTCATAAGGGATCATCTAATCGTGTGGTTCTCGCTCTTAATATAGCTTACAATGTAAAACACTCTGAGATGGCTGTCTGTGTGACTCTATGTAAATTGAATTGAATTGACAAACTGATTTGTGTTGGTCTTGGTTGTAATTTACTAGCTGGTATTGCTGATTTTAAAAATGCAACTAAAACTCCAAATCTTTATTTTATGAGACCTTCACGCTGCCTGCTGCGTGACCCATGCGTGCAATAATTAATGAGATTATTCATGTATATTCAGAGATTAGGGTTCCGATTAAGAACTCTTACTGAGTAGTTCAGCAGTTCAACTCGCATTTATTTTTAATTATACATAAATTAATAATGTTTAGCAATTAAAGCTGAATTTAAATGATTTGTGATCTGAAGCCTCACAGGCTTTGGTCACGTCGCACACACGTTAATGTTTCCCGCATTTATGTGAGGATTCTCACATCTTCGCCCAGTTTTCTCACTTGAATGACAATCAACCTTCGAATGTCCCTTCGGGGAAGTAAATATGCATCTTTGTGGCCCAAGCATGACATTTTAGGCCTTGCTCATCTATTATGTGGACGTGTGTAGTAAATGCATTTTTGACAAGTCCATATGAAGAGATAAGGGCTAAGAACAAAATAAAAAAGAAGCCATGCCCCGTGTGAGGCTCGAACTCACGACCTTCAGATTATGAGACTGACGCGCTGCCTACTGCGCCAACGAGGCCTGTTCTCCCCCCCTCAGCCTTCCCACCCAAGCTCACAGTGTATTTCCCACCCCCGAGCATAGCTGGAATTCCTTTGTCTTTCACCTCACTGTAACCTCTGGTCTTTGTGTCACTTGTCTGACTCTACTTTTTTTGCTTTAGCTGCTTCCCCTCACAGCCAGAGGAGTATGACCCCGTCAAGTGAACACGCAGCTACACCCACACCTCCCTGCAGCCCACAACACATCCTTAACTGGCAGAGCGGGTAAGAAACCCACAAGCACGCATAAGGTGGCTGAAAAGCTGCCAAGATGTTGAAGCCGGATAGGAATATTAGGGAAAACTGCATCTGCTGCTCAGCTTTTTTCTCTTTCTTCATATTTGTCCAGGACTCACGCTTAACACACTCACAAACTTCGAGTGTCTGCTTTCCTTTGTGTCGTTGTCTGTGATTTTGGGTGCAAAACACTTCCTAATTCTTTTCAGACTTCAGTCAGATCATATATGTCTGTATTTTCCCGCCTGTTTTCCTGTTTGTGGTCTTTATGTACATTTTTTCTTCACTGTCTTTCTCGATTATCTTACACACCTATTACTCTTAATTTTTTCTCTTGGAAATCTTCTTATTGCTTACTGTTTGTCATTTCTTTCTTGTCCATCTTTCTGTCTTTACTAACCCTCCTTTCCTTATGTGTGTGTCCTCTCTCCTGGTTTAGCGGGACAGCAGACTGCTCTCCTACTGAGGACGTCTGTCAGTCTCCCCCTCAGCCCAGCTCTGATGCATAGAGGTACCGTCTGTGGTCTAAATCTAGCGTAGTACTAGGAAAATGCAATATCAGTAGATTTTAAAGCAAACCTTTTTCATTATAGAACATCAAGACCAAATTTAGTCCAACTTTTCATTCATAAAAATGTATCCCATCAAAACGTGATAAACTAATGCACATCTGTGGGGCACTGACAGTTGTGGTTCATTTCTCATTTCTTGCTCTTTGACGGTGGAGGTATACGTGTCATGAACTCCCTCTCTGCTTGTATCTGCCTGAATTTTGCATGCTTTCTGCTCCGTTCTGCTTTACTGCAGCTCACAAGATTCACTAATAAACAACACTTAACCGTGCACCGTCACAGACCAGAGATTGAACAACAACAAAAAAGCTCACAAACAGCAGACAAAGACAAAAAAGCTGCCCTGCATCTGTTCTGATTCTGGTCTTTCTTCCTCTGCAGGACTTTGAGTGACAGCTGTTTTCTCAGCAGCCCTCTGTGTTCAGAGCTGGCAGATGTCCAGTGGTACGGACAAGACAAGGCCAAACCTGGAACGCTGGTCTGAGACCTTCCTGTGGGGCCTAGAAGAGTCCCATTGCCCTCTCCTACTGCCTCTCCATTGTCCCCCACAATTATCCATCAACAACCGACAACCTCATCCTCAAAGCCCTGCAGAAACCCTGCCCTGAGCAGACTTGACGGGCTGGACGTGAGCCTCCCTCCTCCTAACATCTCACCACCTCTTTATTATGACCTGTCTATTGCAGTTCAGCAGGACAGGGACTACTCGCTGGGCTCTTTAAGGGCAGATTTCACAGGACGGACTGAGAAATGCCACCTCAGCTGTTGAACTGTCACCCTACAGCACCACAGAGCCCTTTCTTTACTCACCTACTGCAGCACACAAATAACAGGGCAACGGGAAGCGAGCGATGGGAAGAGAGAGCACAGCAAAATGTCCCACATGCAACTCAAAACTCAGCAGAAACAACACAGGCCATTCCAGGATCTCTTTCATATTCGTCTTTGGTCCCCAGACTTATTCCAGTGCACTGCCTCCCAGTCAGAGGATACCTGCTGGATTTGAGCCACCAGTTTAAAACCCATTTCCAGGCCCAAACGAACTGTGTTGCATTTCATTCCCATTAACACTTGTTTGTCTTTCTTTTTCTTTATTTCTTCCAGCGTATTTATAAAAAGAAAAGATGACTGAAACGTTCAGGAGTTCTCTCTTTTACCCACAACCACAGACAGTTTCTGAATCGACCAGTCACACCAGAGTTCTTGGGCAGGCACAAAGAAAAAAAGTGAAAACTGCATTCAAAGTGACAATATCAGCATGGTTTCTGAGAGACTGTCTGGATATTAATAAGGACTATAGCAATAACAACCCTAGTAGAAGTCTTTGGACTGGTTTGAATCGGCGGAGTGAATTCAAGGATCATGATAGGGGGAATTTGGATTTGTGGTTGTTTGGCGTTACTCTTTTGCCTTCTTCACTGACTTCATCCTTCGTGTTTATTTTAATATCTGTGATCTTCAGAGGATTTCTCTGTCCGCAGCAGCATGTTTGATCACATGGTGTATGAGCCAGGGAGTAGAGGAGGCTTGGAAGAAAAGGTCATTTATGGGTGCTGTTCAGTCATTACAGCACTTTTTTAAATTTTGTCTGAAGTTTGTTGGTCTGGCCTTTGCGCACTGTTTCATATTAAACCCTGAAAGAAAGAAAAAATGTCTGACATGTCTTGGCATTACTTCTATTTTAATATTGCATTGGCTCAGTGAGAATTGTTTAACCTTTGATCTTGGCTCTACACCAGCTCTCACCATGTTGAGTATCCCTTTATGGCACTGTGTTTACTCATCTTACTTTATCTGTTCCAAATATGTTGGTGCTTTACATTAATACTGTAATTTACTACTGAAATCATTACAAACCACACAGCCCCTTTACTTCCCCACAGCAGAAAGCCATTCTATGAAATTACAGTGAGGCACAGCGGACGGATGACATCCAACGAGGGTTTATTTGGTATTAAGTGAAATAAAAATGTATTTTAACACCATTAAGTCTGAAAGCACAACATTAACAGTGTCTTTGAGGGCTGGACCTACAGTAAGTGTATTCTCATATCAGTGTAACCACAAGGTGTTAAAGGGCAATCCTCTCTGTGTTTCAGGCATCAGATAATTAAAACCCCTGCTGTCAGGGAAGAAACGCTAAAGCCAACACACAAATACTTTAACCCGCTCAAATGGAGAGAATTATTTTTCTCACACGTCCTAATCAATCAAATATTCAGAACAGGGTTAGAAAAGCACATCTAGTTTTGTAAAAAAAATAAATAAATAAATAACAATAAAAGGAATTTTGGTTGTTTTTAGCCATTTTCCTTCTCTTCCTTTGACAAATGTTTCCATTGCAAATTAATGCTCACCACTGTTTCCTTATTCCTCAAAATCTAAATTAACCAAGTGTTATTTTGCTCTAAAACACGTTGTGAATCTCAGTGATAGATCCTATAGCACCATTCAGACTGGACAAAAGGTGTATTGTGCTTCTTGGTATGAGAGGAACGGTACGTCTTTCATTTGTATTTCCTTTATAGACTGCTGTGAGTTGTTGTAATTTGCCCCTTTTTACAATATTTTACTAAGAAGGTTTCGCCCGACCTCCTGCATGGCTAGTTCTCGGACAGTTGTTCCTGCCAAGTTTGGCCAAATTGAATAAGTCTTTAAGCAGAGTTGGAACCAGTGATCACTGGTTACCCCCTAATATGACTTCTTTACTCGAGTGTATTTGAGTTTGATCTTGCTTTTCCCTCCGAAACATTTCTGTGCTAGACAAAAAATCCCACGCATGCCGTGAAGATCCTCTGAGAAAGGAAGACCCCAAAGACAGCGCCCAGCTCCTTCGTGTTACCATTAGCACGTTTTACTCCATGGTGTCATCCCGCACCAAAAAAAAGTACCATTTTGACCTTGTTGTAATCTCTGACCTCTGAGCTCATTGTGAAGACGTGTGACATCCCTTCCCTTCATATTTCCAAACAACATATTTCCTGTGCTCCATACTAATGTATGAGGTTTTTGTAATACTCCCAAGAGAAGAAATGAACTAACTATTTTATCAAGTCTTTTCCTGTATGTACTGATGGGGCACTGTTAGATTTTGTGGGGTTTTTAACATTCACATCCTTTGTTTTAACAATGTTCCACTTTAAATGAACCAGTATTGTTTTGTTTTTTTTTAAGTTTCGGACATTGTAACGACCCTTTCAGGTGCTACAAAATGACCACTTACTGCTTTGTCACGTAGGATCTAGACATCTCTTCATTGTTATCAATAGATTCAATACCAGATGTGCAAAATGAAGCTTATTTTAACAAACAATTTAATAGTAGAAGCACTTCCTCTACCAGACAATAGAGCATGTAACTCAATTTTATCAGTTCTCTTCAGCTGAAACAGAACATTAAAGGTGTTGTAGGAAAACAAATGTGGAATTGATTAAAAAAAAAACCTTAATTCCACACTTAATTTATTCTTTTTTCTATTAAGAATTTGTATAGTAACTTTGCATTTTTCAAAACTGTGTTGTTCAAAATTGATGATGAAATTTTCAAGACGAGAAGCTGTGGTGGTTCTTGAGAGTAAGAAAATAAATTATTGATGAATGTTCTCAAGATAAGTGGTCTGTCGTTTCTTTTTTCACTTCTTCCGTTCCCTTTCTCCAAAGTGCTTCAAGATCAGATACCTTGAGGCCATTCAGCTGAAAGGTCATAGTGTCGGCCAGACTTATCAAAGGGAATCCCAACATGTGGTCACCGCTTCCTCTCCTCCGGACACACTCACTCTCCTAACATCCGAGCTTAATTTACTTCCCTCCCTTCTGCACCTTTGAGAGGATTTCCTGTAGAGTCAGAAGGAAAGATACACTCCAAACAGAAAAGATATTACTCATCAGAAGACGTGGTTAAACAGCTCAACAGATCACCTTTTTTAATTTGCTGATATCCACTGAAAAACCAAATCCTCCTTTAAGGAAATTCTGCTGAAATGTGTGTTTAACTTATCGTGTGCTCTACTATTTTAAGGCTAGCACTCAGGCCCCAAACTCACAAACGGTAGTTGTGATCCTTTGTGATGATACGTGGTTTCTGCTAACATGAGCACAGTGTCAGTTTCTGCCAGGACACCCAGCTTTATCACCCTGCTTTGGTTTGTACCACTTCTGTGTCCATTTACTAATTAATCCCACGTTAGTCTTTGTACTCGGTGTGTTCCCATAGCAGTTCTCCCAGCCAGGCAACAGCTGGAAGCTGTTAGCCCGAACTGCCGTGAGAAAGTAACTGCACTTGGATTTTTTTCCACTCATACGTCTGTTTGTGCATGTTTGTGTGTCTGTGTGCGTGTGTGTGTGTGTGTGAGAGAGAGAGAGAGAGAGTTCTTGCTGCAGGAGTGGTGTATGACCTTCGTTTAAATTCCTAATTAAATCCTCCATCACTGAAATACTCAAACACACCACACCCTCTACTACACAATACATAAATATAAGAACTATTAGACATGCACATATGTGATGTGCAGTTTTTGAGTGTATGTTGAGTTTGTGACGAGGGTTAGGGTTCAAGTAAGATGCTTAAAATCCCACTGACATTCATGAAAAAATATCCAGAGGGAGGGGAAAAAAATAACAGATTCTTTCAAGCTTTTTCAACAGGAACATTTATTTACAGTCAGCGACGGATAGATTACAACTGAAGAAGATACATATTCATTAGATCACTCTGGCTTCTCAGCCCTGAAGGTCCTGAGTGCTGAAAAAAAAGAAAAAAAACCCTTAAATAATAAAATGAAATTCATTATCCAGGTTTACGCTTAACTACTGCAATGGAGTAAAATATCACACTGGTTTACGATGTGAAAAATCTGTGGCAGCATCGCCCTCTAGTGCCCTCTGCAGAATAACATCGAAGTAAACGAAGAAAGAAAACCATGGCAGCAGTTTTAACCATTATAGCCTTTGAATTACAAAACATAAAATAAAAAAGCCCAAATTTTATTGACATATTTATATATGACAGCAATTTCCACTGTCAATGTTTTTGACAATAAGAGGAGCCCTGGGTTTGACTCCACCAGCCAGTCTGAAGTCTCTGTGGAGGCCTGTGTCTATGTCAGCTGTCTCCAGGTAATCCAGAGGTGTGAGTGTGAGGGTGAATGGTTGTCTGGAGGATAGGTTACTGCCTTTAACAGATTTACACCATTACTATATTTAGATCAAACGAACATTTTAATGACAGTAACTATGCTTGCAAACAATGAGATTTCAGATCTTTCACATATTAAATTCCACTTGTTCCAGGAGAGGCCCATTGGTTTCATCTGGATCCTGCCAAGAAAAGCATCCAGATGAAACACTAAGATAGCAGTGATTAACAAATCAATGCCAATTAAATAATTCAATATAGATCATCATGCCCTAAAAAAAAGCTGACAGAATTAAACTGCATTCCTGTATTCCTTTAAACCAGAAGTCATAGCATTCATTAGGATTTTCTCCCAGTCTCAGGTTTTTTATTTTACCCTATCATCCAATATTTACCTGTGAGACGCGACTGTAAACCTGAAAATGGGGAGAACTGTAGCGGCGCAGACCCCTCCAGGACAGGAAAAGTATGTAGAGTGATGCCAGGAAGCAATGTACGGTGAACACTATGGTGCTCGCCCTTGCAACATAAGAACCAGCACGCTAGTGAGAAGAAGGCAGAAAGAAAAGAACGATTGTAAGGTTTTCTGTGTATGCTGAACACAAACCCCCAAAAGAGATTCCTTACAGGACCTCTTTATTATAAAGTAAGATTCAAACCTAGTTACTGGAATGCAGAATTACCTGTTGGTAAGTGAGTGTGACGGCTTGTGCAGCTCTGATACCGTTGGCCAGCAAAGCTGAGAATCCAAACACGAGACTAAAGACATTCACACCCATCAGAGCGATGATCTGTTTGTTGTTAAGATAAACTAAGTCAGGCTGATCATAACATAAGTAAAAAAGAAGCCACATAAGAATTGACCAAACTTTTTACCTTCAATTTATTCGCTTTTCTTTGAACCTCAATCGCAAGACACCCAGCAGCCACATACTGGAACAACAAAAACAGATACAACCTCCTATTTGGCTTTCTCTCTTTTAAAACAGAAATTTTATACTGTGTGCATGTCAGCTGAAGCAGATGTGGACTCACAAATATGCTTGACCATGCTGGTGTTGTCATGGAGACAGCACATCTGTAGCTCACACATGCGTGAGTGATTGTGGTTAGTATGCAAACTACGGCACTGAGGATTTGAATCACCTGAGGGGGAATAAAGAATATAAGATGGGCAGGTTCAAAGCTTCAGGATGTTAATCAATAGTTTGGGCGAGCTTCTTACCCCACTGACAAAAAGTCTAGTATTAACCACAGCCCCGAACCAACGATGAATCCTGGCATTGCTTAGCTCTCCGTTACTGGTGACCTCAGTTTGTGGGGATGGTGAGGGTGTATCCTTAAAAAATACTTGGTACAGTCCCTCCTCAAACATGTTCTGCCTCATCTGTTAGGGAAAAAGATGATTTGTATGGATGTTAAATGCTGCACAAATCATTTGAAATTTTGCCAAACAGATCATGGTTGATATGAACACCTTCGGATTCAGATTTTGCATTTAACTTCAGTCTGTGACCTCTTACCTTGCCCAGATGTTGTAAAGCCCTTGTTTATTCATCCACGGGCTTTCATATAAACAGAAAATATCCATCCAACCAGAATAACAGACATTGAACAGCTTTTCTCACGGCTACAAAGTTACTTCTTGTACCACACAGTAAACTTGTTTGGTCAAAGTTCACTTGGGTTGGATGATAATGAACGGTTAAAGTTCACTGCTGAGGAAGTGATTCAGAGAGCGTGTTAGCCATGAGTAAAGTGCTTATCAGCTTGAAGGCAGGGCTTTCTGTAAGATCAGAGGACTTGGTTCATTTTAGACACAAGAAGAATACTTAGAAATACAACCCCAGCTCCAAAAACATCAGGATGCTGTATAAAATCAAAATTAAAAAATAAAACCCCAGAATGCAGTGATTTGTGAAACTCACATTTTATGCACAATAGAAAATAGTAAAAAAATCAAATGTTACTGCTGCTGAGACATTTTACTATTCCATGAAAAAATATCTAATTTTTAATTTGATAGCAAAACACTGGAAAAAAAAGTTGGGAGGGATTAATCAGTTAAAGTAAAGATGGACAGACCCTGCATCTAGAAACTGTGGAACAATTTCAGAATAATATTCCTCAACACTTTGAATATCTCACCATCTACATTACAATCTCTGTGCTTGAGGTTAAAGGCTGAAAACAATTCAGAGTGCCATTCACAAGCGCAGGTTAAAGCTCGATTATTCACAGAAGGCATACGTGATGATGATCCTAAAACACCGCCATCTTCTCTGGGTCAAAGGCCATTTCAAATGGACTGAGGCAAAGTGGGAGAACTGTACAAACCAAAAATTGAAATTCTTTTTGAAAACCAAACATCCTCCTAACTAAAGAGGAGAGGAAGCGTCCAGCTTTTTGAGAGCTCAGCTCAAAAGCTTGCATTTCTAATGGTATGGAGATGCATTAGTGACAGTGAATTTGGCAGCGTGCACATCTAGAGAGGCACCATCAAGGTATATACATGTATCAGACCGTTACAAATGATCCTTTTTCAGGGATCGCCTTGCATAATTCAGCTAGAGTGCATACTGCTCTATCTATTACGACAGCATAGCAAGTCTGGCTGTTGAACTGGCCTGGCTGCAGTCTAGACCTTTTACCAGTTGAAAACATTTGGCACATCATGAAATGAAAAATACAACAAATGAGTCCCAAAATTGATGAGCAGCTAGAATTCCATATCAGATAAGAATGAGAAAATAATTATCTCATAAAGTCTTGGTATTCAATTCAAAGTTTAGGGCAAAGAGAAGAGGGAACAGAGAGGTGAGACAAAAGACAGTGTATGAGACAAAGAGCCTTAGTTTAATCATTTTTAATGATTGAACGCATAGTGGTGTATAAACACAAAGGGAGTGAAAAGAAATGCTCAGAGCTTAATGCGATGTCCCCCAGCAGCTGAAACCTATTGCAAAATAACCAAGAGATGGATGGTTCAGGGTCACCTGATCCAGCTCTCACTATAAGCTTTGTCAAAAAGGAAAGTTCTAAGCCTAATCTTAAAAGTAGAGAGTCTGTCTGTCTCCCAAATCCAAACTGGGAATGTAGGGGCCAGAAAGCTGAAGGCTCCGCCTCCAATTTTACTCCCTCCCAGACTACTTTTGAAAACTCTAGGAACTACAAGTAAGCCTACAGCCTGCGAGTGAAGTGCTCTGTTAGGATAATAAGGTAGATATGTTACATAGAGTGTTAATAAATATAGATTAATCATAGTTCAAATTGAAGTAATAATGATGATGGTTTAGAGGAAAATACTGAAAATACTGAAGTTAAATCAAAGATCAATCAGAGAGGAAGTGTCTAAGTAAAGAAGTTATTAGAGATTCTTTAGCTAATGACACATCTGTGGGAAAATATTTTTTTTAATCAAACAAATAATTTGTGCTATTACTGCCAATGTGAAATCTATGTTTATCCTTAGCTAGCAGTTTCAAATTTCCTTTAGTGTTGCCTGCTTTGGCCCCTAGAATACAGTCAGCTATGGTCACTGGAGTATAGCTACGCATGTGTGCATGACCCTCAATAAAGTCCCGGCTGAACCTAATTGACCCGGTTACCAACAATCATTGAGCCATTACAAATAACAAAAGATACAAAGATTTTTCTTTTCACTCAAACACTAAAATATCCTAAAATAACTCCACATAAATAAAGTACATGCATAGAAAGACAATGACTGGATAGAAAATAGTCAAAAAAAATCTCTTTTTTTTACAAGAAAAAAAACCTAAATCTCATATTCTGTGTCAAACAATATAGCGATCATGCATAGATACATATTATAGAAAAATATTACATATATAAATCCAGTACATGAGACCATAAAAGTAAATTAATCATTATATTAATTAGCTTAGAAACCCTAATAAAAAATAAAAATGTATCACACTTGATCAGGACAACAGCAGTTCCTCATTTAATCCTCCAGGAGGTGCTGTTTGCAAATGAAATATCCAGTAAACTTCACCTCAGAGAATCTTCGGCTCTTTATCGCCACCTTTTATTAATGCTCAACCATTCCATCGAACTGAGTGAATCTGCCTCAGAGCCTTTACCTTCACGGTCAAACACCAGGAGAGAGTCATAAGGAGGAGCTGTGGGTTCACTGTCTGCAGCACATATATTCTAAGAGGGGACAGCCACAGGCACATATAAGACTCTGAAAATATTACAGTCATATAAACTGTAAATCTTTACATATATACCAAAGGTTTGCTATTAAATACATGTATTGGGTTTTGCATTGGCTTGTATTTGTAGGCGGTAGTTTGGGCAGCTCTGTGAAGTAGGAAGAACATCAGTGCAGAAGACTTCAGGACGGTTATCAAGCCCTCTGTGGAGCTGGCTCAGGTCATAGACCTATAACACAAGATGAACATATGTAATATAAATTAGGTACAAAACAGGGAAGTATGGTGGCCCTGATAGGTCAAACGCACCAGCACATATAAAAATGCTGCAAAAACACACAAAACACGAAGGAAGTTGAATAAAACAAATCTCACCAAAAAATCAAGGGAAGTGTTTTTGAAGGAGACATTAATGTGAGTGAAGCACTGAGGAAGTGGCAGAAACCAAAACATGTGAAGGATTGCATTTGTAGTGCGTTTGACCTTTCAGGGCCACCGTAGAAAAAGCCTCAGAAAAATGTACCCCCTACTTTAGTGTGACTGCGGCATCAACTTTCTCAGGCAGTCATACTGCAATTTTATTACATCATCAGTGTTTTCCCCTAAGTCTTCTATTTTATTCGTTAGTTTCATTAGTAATACATTATCCAGTGTTGCATCACCAACACAGAATCTCTCATTCCAGGTCTGCTTATTCTCCTTCTGCCCACCAGGATTATTCAATCAGCCGTCCAACTCTGCAAGTAATCCAATCACTCAATACTTTCTAAGCTTTATCTCCCATTTGCTTTTCTCTCAATCATTAGCAAACCATTCTCCTAACCACCAGAATTATGTTTGCTTTAACCTGTTTACATCTATTAAAAACTGCAAAACTGAGCATAGTCAAAAGGTGTGTTTTATCCTCTCATGTGAGTCTCTCTTGTGAGTATTTTTTCCCTGTCCAACGGCATATGCACATACAAAATCCCTGATTGCCGATCAACAGTAAAAACACCCTCAGGGGGCTGATCTGCTCCTGGTCCAGTGATCTTGTAAGTTATGGCCACCTTTTTTTCTTTGTTGGACTTCAGCTAATCCCCAAAAATAAAAATGTCATTTGAGCAGAGGTGAATACAATATCACTTGGTTTATATAACCCCAATTCCAAAAGAGTGAAGACACTGCATAAAATGTAAAAAATAAACCAAATACAATGATTTGAAAATCTAATAAAGTCATTTTTACAAATTTACAAATTTGTTCCTTATCCCTGCATCCAAAGGACAAGGCTGAAAATCAACATGGGATGCACTGTTCTTCAGGCCCTCAGGCAGGACTGCATTAAAAATAGACATGATTCTGTCATTGAAATTACTGCATGGGCAAAGAAATCCCTGTCTGTGAACACAGATAAATGCGGGTTAAAGCTCTATCATGCAAAGAAGAAGCCATATGTGAACATGATCCAGAAATATAGCTAGCACCTCCAGAAAAGCAGGACAATGTGACACTGCATGCTGGAGCTGTTACAACAGCATGACTTCATAGTCGACTGAACTAGCCTTCTTGCAATCCAGATGTTTCACTAACTGAAAGCTTTTGGCCCATCAGGATCGAAAAATAAGACCCAGGAGTGTTGAGCAACAAGAATCCTGCATCAAACAAGATCAGGAAACATTCCTCTCCCAAAAGTACTGAAGCTGGTTTCCTAAGTTCTAAGAATTGTTGTTAAAACAAGTGAAAGTGATATGCAGTGGTAACAAAAGCATTTCCCAAATTTGTCTTCCTGTCATCAATTGTAAAATGATCGTGATTGATATTTGATATGTTACTATGTTCTATTGTAAATAAAATACATGTTTATGAGATTTGAAAATCATTGCATTTACATTTTACACAGCATCCAACTTCTGTGGAATTAGGGTTGCATGGCAGCAGTTACCTTCACCAGATTTTTGGGGTAAGGACCCCTGACATTTTCTGAAAAGCTAATTGGTGGAATAACCCACTCCCTCTTCATCCGTTTCAAGCTGCCAGACACAAATGGAAACTCCACAATGGGAAGCTGCAGGGGGAGGGTGTAAGACCTTTTGAATCAGGTCATCATGTCGCACCAGATATAGTATTTAATCAATGAAATGTGACGATGCAAATAATTCTAAAATTTCCTCAAGACCTACGTTCTTGGACTTTATTTGGGCAGCTTTTTCTGTTTTTCAGGCACTGTGGTTGGATCCCTGCAGGAGCAGCTTGAAATGCCAAGCACTGAGGAAGCAACAATAGACATTATCCTAGTAATGCTAAGCTTACAATATACGTGTAAATGTGTCATAGTGAAGTGTTAAAAAACAAACTACAATCTGAAAACATTGTAAGTTATGATATAAAACAAACACATCCTGTTTCTCCTGACTTTCATTCATCTTCTCTTCAGAGCATGCCTCCACCTCTCCAGGCTCTCTCCCACCTGCTCCCCACTCTCATTACACATCACAGCGCTCTCCACAAACA